GAGACTTGTAATTATCGATGAAATGTCTCAATTGATTACTTAATAAAATGTTGCATTGATCTTAATTTTCCTCTCTGATATTAGAATTATTATAGGAATTTATTAGAGCTGTGCAAAAGTTCGAATTTTGTATGGGCTCGGATCGAATATTCGATTCGAGCCCATGTTAATTTTTATGGAGCGTTTCGAATTTTAAAAACTTGCACAGCTCTAGAATTTATTATACAAGGTGTGTATCAAAAGTTTCGAGACGGCTCTATATTTTCTATATGGATCGCATTTTTGAGAAAATAATTAAAAGCAAAAGATTTTATAAAATTTTATATGGTAAACAACTTTTTATGACTTATTATGACTTATTAAAAGAAAAGAAAGACAAGTTTTTAATGTCGAATATTATTATAATTATAAGTCGAAACGAAAAAATACATCATATCTTTAAAAACAACTTTTTCTATTTTTTTAATATGATCTTTTGATACATCCTGTATACATTTTTTATAATAATTTTTGAATTAAGATGTTTTTGATGGAAAATTTTTTTAAAAATAAGATATTAATAACATATATATATATATATATATATATATATGATTTAAATGTCTGATAATAGATGGATATCTGGGAGCTAATGTTGTGTAACGATAAAGATGAAAATTTCGGTTCAAATGAACCCTTAATCGGATCGTGTTGATGAAGATTAAGCCACATGACTTTATATAACACGTCTCTTTAAGGAAATGAACAGTCTTAATGATACTTTCCCTTCATTATATCTGACCCCAAATCGACAATATTGTCGAAAGCTTGTCTTATTTGGACTCATGGAAGTAACCCTGGCATTTCACGCGGATATAAATTATTCCATGTCATATATATAACGCTGGGTAGGTCAAACCCACATTCGACCCACATATAATAAATACATTTTCTTATATGAACGTTGGCGCCACGCAATGTGCACACGTAAATGTACATACACACGCATACTTTCAGGAAAAATGAAACCCTATACAAAAACAGAAACTGCATATCAATGCGGGTATATATATATACATGCAGAAAAAAGTTGGGTTCAAAATGTCGTTTAGCATTTTGATATGAAACAAAAATGGGCCTAGGTTTTTTTCTGTATATATATATGTGTGAGTGTGCGTGTGCACTCTTTAACATTTGTCCGGAAACTCGCTCCCTTTTCCGTTTGTCAATGTTATTATTATTTTTTTCTTTTTTAATTTCCATGTACTTTACAGCTAGCTATATGTTATCTACATTCCTTATTGAAGTGATTTTATTTTCAATTTTCAATAAATCCTTTCGACGATAGAAAAAAAAGAAACAAATCAACTAGAATTTTATAATTAAATTCTGTTAAACCCAAATATTTTACTCGATTCCGATTGCTATTTAGAAAAGAATTTTAAAACAAACTGCTATTACTGAATATTTTTAAAAAAGACTTAATTTATTACAATCATGTAACATTTATAATATTCTTAAATATGTATGTACCAAATAAATGAAACACAGTTTACATATTTTGAATTTCGTGTTATGTTGATTGATTATAACGAATATAAATCCGCACGGTCTCTTCAAACTCGTTATAAGCGGTTTCGACTGTATATATTAAGACAATAGTTTAATAAATAGTATATAATTTCGATTTTAACAAATCTTCATTTAGCCGAATTGATTTTCCTTAGAATTCTAACAACATTATTGATTTTTCATTTATTGTTAGAACTCTCATAATCCAGTAGAAATATTTGATATACGAATTTTAAAATTAACCAGTCACAATTTTCTTGGTAATTTCTGATTGTTTAATTTTAAAATTCGCACTAAAATATTTCTATCGTATATATATATGTTTTTTCTAAGTATAATGAGAATTTGGTATAAGTATTTTAAGAATTCTATATCAATAAAAAAAATTTTTTAATTAAAATTCATTTAAATATAGAGAAATAAAATTTTGGAAATTTTACTAATTCAAATGCAAAAAATAAGTCACTAATTAAAAGTTTTACTATAATTCAGATTTAGAGAGTAAATTATTTATAATAATAGAGTATAGAAGTGAAAATTCATCAACCAAAAAAGTATTTCATTCACATAATGTATATAGTGTTGACTGTTTAACGATTTCAAAGGCCCAGAAAGAGGGCAATGTTGACGTAGGTCCAGTCCCTGTAACATGGAACTCGGTTCCCTTTTGTGTGTATGTATGTACACATACATATATATATTTGTATGTCAGTGTGTGGAGTGCACACGTAATTGCATAGGATGTACATTGTACACTTACTGAAGCACGTTTTGTTAAATGTGTGTGTGTATATGTGTATATGTATACCCTGTGTATGGTTTGTGCCCTTCGTGACACGCATTACCCATGGGAAGTCATGTATACACGGGGGATGTAGGGGGGATCACAGTGAGGGAAAGACAAGGTGGAATTAAAAATACCGTAGAACCCTGCAGGCACCCTCTCTGTATAGACACTAACACACATAAATTGTATGAACACGTTGGTCATGCGCTGTGTAGGTTCTATTACTCTCTCATCAGGGCCGTCGTGTATGAGAATCGAGGGCTTTCAAGAATACGGCTTCATTCACGTTCTTTATTCCATTTACTGTTTTTCATATCATAATATAATCTTCTTTGTTATTATTTTTCTTCACCATCATCATTATTATTATTATTAATTACTCATGAATTTATTTCTATTTAAACGATTTTGTTGAACGGATTTTTAATACCTGTTTCATAATATCAATTTTTCATGGTTTTATGTTCAAAGAAAACGCAATTTCTTTCAAATTAAAATTATCAATTCAATCATTACGGTTTGTACAACACAGGCTGACAAAATTTTGTCCTACTTCAGAACCAAGAACCAGATTATATTGTTCCGAATCATTTTGACGTGCTAAATCCGAATCTATAGCCTCAGAATTGGTCCAGCGCACGTCAGGTTTTTGAAATATTCTAACCTCAAATATGATTAAAAAAAACGTCTTTTTATACTTTTAGATTAGAATATCTTGAAAACCTGACATGCTGGGTCAATTCTTAGGTCAGATTCGGATTTAGCATTTCAAAATGTTTCGGAAAAGTATAGTCTGGTGTTTTCTGCAGTAGGCTAAAATTTTGTCGGCCTCTATATGTATAATGATTTCAATTAAATGACTTCTTTCGTTTAATTTAAATAAATATAGTTTGTTTTTATAGCAAACAACTTTTGAAAATATTTCTTATTTTCGAAAATTCTTCAAAATTTTCCTCTAAAAAGAAATTTATTGTTTTTGATTCTTGATGTCTCATGAATTAAGTATTAGGCTTGTATATAAGTAAAAAATTCTGACCTTTAAAAAGGGCGTATTTGTCAGATGTAACATACATTTTCTTTAGGATATATAAGAAAGTATTTTATTATTATTTTTTTTTTTTTTTTGTTATCGACATTCTTTTTATATTGTTATTATCCATTCTAGTAGAAACTGCGATAAAAATTTATTTGCCATTCAGACATAAACCTGTCTTTTCGAAATTTCGTCCCTGTCTTTTATTTTATGCTTTCAAAAAATAAAAAAGAAAAGGTGAAAAAAAGATGAGGGCAAATGTGTGAGAAACTGACAATAGAATCTCTGTAATATTATTATATATAATACTAACCAAAACCTACTTTGCACTGAAAGATCAAATATGTCTTTATTTGTGAAGGTATTACACTCTCTCAATGTGAGCTACGCATAATTTAGTTTATATAGTGAATGTAATATGTTTTATGAACCTAATAATGCAAACTATAACATGCATGTTTACGCCTTTATCCCCCGTAAGCACTACTTCATAAGTTGTCTCTTATATAGTTTTGTCCGCAACTTAGAATTATGTATAATTATTCGCTTTACATTCATAAGTATACTGTATGCATGTATATATATATATAGATCTATGCGTGAAACATATATATAGGAAAAATAGATAATATGCGCGAAACCGGTCAAGTGAATATATATAAAAAAGTGCATGATTATAACCATTCGTGAAATGATAAAAAATCACAAAGTCTCAGATAAGAAAAGCAAATGACCGTTGTTCCGTGGCAATTATTACATTCACGTTGCAAATGTTATTGATTATGAATAATCTTCTATAAATAGACATAAATCTCGAATATCGGCTATGTTTTCAAGTATCTGCATTTTTCCAATCTGTCATCTTGTTTATATCGATTTCTGACCTGCTATATATATACCCGCAGATATTAATCCTGTTCTTTTTATATAACATTATATATATATATATATTTTTTTTTCTTTATATTAGTATGAAAATTTTGAAACTTGGACAATATTTTTAGAATAACGTATATTATATGTGGAATGTAAAAAGATTACGGTAAAATGTGTTAATAAATTTGACACTCTATTGCTTTGAGTATTTATACTCAATCGACTTTAATGCAAGAAGATATCTTTCGTTTACATTTAAATCGAACTATTTTCTTGTAATTTTGCCTCTCTCACTTCCGGTACATATAAAGCTGACGACTATCCCGGGCAGACTTCCGGCGAAATAAAAGCTGCATTTGTCGGCAAATGACACAAATAAGCAAGCACAAAGTGAAATGGATTCGACGCGGTCTGCATTTGTACATATCTACTCTCTTGTGCAATAATTCAAAATGATCTTTTAGTACTCTAATAAATAATCTCTGCTAATTACGAGAAAAACGATTAAAACAAAAGTATAAAACATCCTTGCGCCACAAATTAAAGCTTTCAAATTAAGTTCTATCTTTCAATTCTTATATAATATATGAAAATTAGTCAGAATTTTTAATTTATAATGTGGAATTTTTAGTTAGATTTTTGAACCTCTTTTTCGGTTTTATAGTCTAAACAATAAAAATAAAACTCAGGAAAGTGAAATTTTCATCTCAGCTTCATTTATGAAGATACAATAGAAATATAATTTTTTTTCAGATGGTGTTAAAAATTGAGTCCAAATTGAAGAAGGACGGCTCAACGATTGAGGACGATGTGGTTAAGCGGAGAAACGCGAGGAGGTGATAGCGACTTCTGACCTTCTGTACTAGTCCCTATCGATGAGGGCCTGCATCCAAATCTTGTTTGAGAAGGATTATTATCGAGAGGAGTGAAAACAAAAAAAAAAAAAAGAAGAAAAGAAAGTAAAAGTCTTTTTAGTCCTCTGTAAAACGATCAGTGACGTTATTATTACCAGAAAAAAAGTCACACACATATTACTACTCTACCTTTGAAAAAATACCTCGTACCTACAAGTACCTTTAAATTTACCTTCCGCAGCGCAATAGTGCCTAGATATTCCAACGCAACTAGAAAACGTTATTTAGAGGAATCAAAGAGCAACGGATAATTACAGAGAGAAAAAAAAAATTGAAGAGCAAAAAAAAATTATTACACGCTGAATCAATTGCGCTACATTCTATTTGAAAAAAAAATCAATATAAATGTATATTTAAAAACAAAAAGTATATATATACATATATATAAATGAAAATAAATATAAACACATATATTTAGGTACTATAGAGACACAACAACCCGCACCTTGATACACAGAGCACGATCCTCGTGTTACACTCACGCTAATATTATAATACCTTCGAGGAGCGTATACCTTCTTTTTTCTCACGCGCACTCGTAAAGAACCTGATAAAAAATACCTGCACTGGGAAAATCGTCGCACTCATTACCTCTAAAGTCGGATCTATATATATACATATATAAATGGAATTATAAAACGAGTACTGCGATTCCCATCACTCATCAATCCTTTAAAACATTTTACTACGAAACCAGGACAGTCAAGTACCTGCAGACAGATATATTTATAATTATTATTCAGAAAAAATCATATTCTATTCTACAAAAGTGTGTATGAAAGTACGAGTGTTATATGCATAAAAGATAAACAGTTAAATTGTTGGAAAAAAAAAAGTTGAACAATTTCAAGTGCTACGAAAAGTCGTCTCTTCTTTCTTCTCAACTAGTGATTATATCGCTTCTTCTTCTTATACTATTACTACTACTACTACTACTAGAACTATTTTTTCTTCTACTACTACTTTTACAACAACTACTAACAGAATTAAGGTGAGCTCATTTTTAATGTTGCTATAATTCTGCATGCAAAACTATTTTTTGCAAAGGTTCTAAGGAACAAAACTTTTTATTTGTGCATTAAAGAATATGATCAACATAAATAGGCATGTCTACACAGAAAAAACCGTTAACTGAAATTAAGAATATATCCTTGGCGCCTATTTAAGAATATTTTATACTTAAACTCCGTATATATTATTCTTAAAATATAAGAATACATACTGAATTGAAGGATTAAATATTCATAAATAGGCGCCAAGAATATATTCTTTATTTCAGTTTACGGTTTTTTCTGTGTACTCGTCCTTTTTTAAGAAATAAAATTTTAACTCAAATATCACTCCCACTGCTTAAAAAATATCCAAACCAATAAAGGTGGAGTCCACAGTTGCCAATTATCCTATCTAGACGCAACTGCACTTGCGCCACGATGACTTTCTCATTGGCTAGAAAAAGCGCGCTTATATTAAATTCTTTAATATAAGAGATAGGCATTTCATATGAGAATACGGGGTCATGTCTCGGATTTTTCTCAAAATTCGATAAATTGTAGTGATAGTGGTGCTAAATAAGTGTACAAATTTTGAATTTGAAATTTTTAATATTTTTCGAGATATTTACAATAATAAATTTGAGCAATATTTTTTTGCTTTACTTATACCTTCTTCGTATTAAAAATAGAGAAAAATGTTGTAAATTTTTTTTACGCGGAAGATGTTAAACTTTTAGAAAAAAATTATTTTTTAAAAAAAAATATTAATTTTTAAACAATTTGTTTAAAAAATAAAATTTGTTTTTAACTTTTAAACATGTTCTCCCTCATTTAGAAGCGCGAAAAAAACCATGAATATTGTTTAAGTCATAATAAATTGATGGTTAAATTTTTGAGATGGCATTATTTTTTGTTTTCGAGATATTAATTAATTAACTAACAAAAGTTAATAAAAAATGAAATATTTTACGAACAAATAAAATTAGAGTACTTTTAAAAACACCATTAGAATGCATATCAAAATCCGCATCCAACGAGCCCTACATGAACTATTTCTGATAAACGGGTGTGAAATTAATAATTAATAATAAAAATTATTTAAATAATTAATAAAATTTGAAGAAATGAAGATAAATCGTTAATTCTTTTTTTATTTGGAAGATCATCTAATTCTGTGTCTAAAAAAGAATATTAATTATTACCAAGAATCAAAAATTAATTATAAAATGTTATTTAGAAAAAGACTGAAAAATACCATGCCGAGTAGGTAGGCAGCCCCCTCCAACTTGTGTCGTAGGGTGCGGAAACCTCAATTTTCAATAATTATCTGTTAATAATTTAAATTTGTTAAAAATGTTATATACACTGGTTTTATTTCATACAGAATTAGATGATCTTCCAAATAAAAAAAGAATTGACGATTTATCTTCATTTCTTCAAATGTTATTAATTATTTAAATAAATTTTATTAATTATTATTAATTTAACACCCGTTTATTAGAAATAGTTGATATAGTGCTCGTTGGATGCGGATTTTGATAAGCATTCTAATGATGTTTTTAAATGTACTCTAATTTTATTTGTTCGTAAAATATTTCATTTTTTATTAACTTTTGTTAGTTAATTAATTAATATCTCGAAAACAAAAAATAATGCCATCTCAAAAATTTAACCATCAATTTATTATGACTTAAACAATAGTCATGATTTTTTTCGCGCTTCTAAATGAGGGAGAACATGTTTAAAAGTTATAAACAAATTTTATTTTTTAAACAAATTGTTTAAAAATTTATATATTTTTTTTAAGTGCGATTCCAGGTGAGATTTTGACTTTTTCGGAGGAGGTTTACCGATTGCAATGAAGCTTTGGAATTTTGTTATATATAGTAAGACTAATCTTTAACGTAAATTTCAGCTTAAAATATTTGTTAGTTTACGAGATTTGCAATAATAACAAAAAAATTTTAAACTGCTATAACTTCCGTTCTAATAATCGGATTGAGGTCTACTTTTTTTTAAAATGTCAAGGAAAATGAGAGGAATAAATCTCTTACAGAACAATTTTTTATAATTTTACAACTAAAAAAATTATTAAATAATAATTGAATAAATTTCGCGCGGCAATCTAAAATTCAATCACTTAAACGCTAAAATGAACTTACCTGTGTTTTCTTTAATGTTCCAAAGGAATCCAATTGTAAATGCAAGTTTAACTTTGTTAATTTTAATAATTTACGAGTATAAACAATTACGATTTCTGCTAGTTGACGTGCAGACGACATTGCGCACGCAGCATTCTCACGTAGCCAATTTAGTCCACGAATCACGTCAGTTGGTTACAGGAGAATGCTGCGTGCGCAATGTCGTCTGCTCGTCAACTAGCAGAAATCGCAATTGTTTATACTCGTAAATTATTAAAATTAACAAAGTTAAACTTGCATTTACAATTGGATTCCTTTGGAACATTAAAGAAAACACAGGTAAGTTCAGTTTAGCGTTTAAGTGATTGAATTTTAGATTGCCGCGCGAAATTTATTCAATTATTATTTAATAATTTTTTTAGTTGTAAAATTATAAAAAATTGTTCTGTAAGAGATTTATTCCTCTCATTTTCCTTGACATTTTAAAAAAAAGTAGACCTCAATCCGATTATTAGAACGGAAGTTATAGCAGTTTAAAATTTTTTTGTTATTATTGCAAATCTCGTAAACTAACAAATATTTTAAGCTGAAATTTACGTTAAAGATTAGTCTTACTATATATAACAAAATTCCAAAGTTTCATTGCAATCGGTAAACCTCCTCCGAAAAAGTCAAAATCTCACCTGGAATCGCACTTAAATAATTTTTTTCTAAAAGTTTAAGATCTTCCACGTAAAAACCATTTACAACATTTTTCTCTATTTTTAATAGGAAGAAGGTATAAGTAAAACAAAAAAATATTGCTCAAATTTGTTATTGTCAATATCTCGAAAAATATTAAAAATTTCAAATTCAAAATTTTTACACTTATGGCGCACTCACACCTTTTTGGCTGCCTGTCTGCCTGCAGGTTACCATGGCAACGCACAAGTGTGAGTGAGACAGAAAATTTGAATATTCAAATTTTTAAATTTTCTGTCGCACTCGCTCTCATGCGTTGCCATGGTAACCTGCAGGCAGCCAAAAAGGTGTGAGTGAGCCTTTATTTACCACCACTAACACAACAGTTTACCGAATTTTAAGAAAAATTTGCAAGTAATATTTTTTCATTTCTTTTATTTTTATTCTGTTTTAATTCGAACATTCATATAATATTATTCCATTTATAATAATTTTATCCTTTAACATAATTGAATAATATTTTATTGAAAAGAATATCGATTAAAATAGTACAACCATCGGGTGAAATATAATATTTTTTCAATTATATTGTTTGATGTGAAATTAAATTGAAACTTTTTTTCTTTTATCCTTGAAATTGTAATTTAAAATTTTTAATTTCTTTTCGGCATCTATAATTGCAAAAAAAAAGGTTTTTAACAAAAGAAACAGAAGAGAAAGAGAATTGTGTAAGTTATGTAATATAACTCTCTCTCTCTCTCTCTCTCTCTCTCTCTTTTTTTTTTATTTCATGTTAATTTTGCGAGTTTTATTTTTTCTCTCCATTGAAGTTCTCATGTATAGAAAATAACGAATCAATATTGTCTAGTTTGCAACGAGGCATTGTCCGCGCGCTTTTACGTGACGAAGTACCTGCGTGTTAGTATAGAGTATTGTATCGTCGCAGACACTATTTGCATTTTAAAACCGATTTTAAGAATTCTGCACGACGTATATATGTGTGCTCACACACAAGTGTTTAGATTTACACGATAGTGTCAAAGCATCGCGTCGCGATTATTTTTTTCGCAAACTGACAACGAATATGATCATATTTAGTGTATATATTTAATATGACATTGGTTAGTTCTTGAAAATATTCTAAATATCACGTGTGCGCTATTTATCGAAATTTTGTAAAATGGGAAATTAATCGCGATTCATGATTTCTTTATATTGAAATAAGAGAGAAAAAAAAAGAGACAAAGAGGGACTCTTATTGAAAGTAATTTATTTGTAAGAAGTTAGTTTGAATTTTTATTGCTCATTTATATAAGAAGAAATCAAAGTAGTTAGACATAATAAGGGATTTACAATTCAATAAGGACAAGATTGCTAATTTCTGTGATTTGCTATTGTCGATTCATTGGTTATAAATGACGGTTAAATAACATTGTACAGTTATCTGTTAGCCATTACTATTCTCAAGACTCTCTCCTCGTGCTTGGAATGCATTTTCCACATTGAGCTTGCATTTTCGCACCGTCACTGGTTATTCGATCGACAAAGTGAGGTTAACTTGAGGAAATAATGCAAAATTCTTTTTAGCTTTAGCGTGACAAACTTTATAAAATTCATGTTTTAAAAATTTTTCCTTGTAGCACTTTTCTTTATATATATATATGGGCAAATCCACAGAACCGGCCGATTTTTACTTATCAAGATAAAAATTTTCCAAATAGCAAGCACATCTTTTATTTATGGTTTACTTTCTTTAAAATATATTCAAGAACAATTATCTTCTTGCGTGATTCATTTTATTTTAATGCCGTTTGAGTTAAAAGCCAAAAACAAAAATATTATTTTTCTTCTGGAAATTATAATTAAAAATGGCATTTCTTTGTTTTTTTTATATATTATTTGAAATATGTGCAAAACATTTTGAATAATAAAATATGATAAAATACAAATAATTAATTTTTTAATTATCAAAAATAAATTATTTATATTTTATCATATTTTATTATATATTTTATTTATTAGCATTTAATTTTTTATTTCTGTAAATTAAATTGTTTACTTACTAATTTTGATATTAACTATTTTAACCAACAAACTGACATTATTGACATCGATTTTGATATAACTTTGAAAATAAAACAAATGAAAGGATAATTCATTTTTCACGATTAACTAGT